AAAAGAAGACATAGGTGTAAATCTTTGTGACCTTGGGTTAAACAATGGTTTCTTGGTATGACACCAAAAACACAAGCAAAATAACAAACATATTGGACTTTGCAAAAATTAAACTATTTTATGCTGCAAAAGAGTGCAGATAACCTACAGAATGGGAGAAAATAGTTGCAAATCATATATCTGATATGATATATCTGATATGTATAAATCATATCTCTATATATGAAAACATAATAGTCTTATAATTTGTATCCAAAACATAAAAAACTCCTACAATTCAATAATAAAAGGATAAATAATCAAATTTTAAAATGAGCAAAGGGTTTGAAAAGATATTTATCCAACAATATATACAGTAAATAAGCACATGAAAAAATGCCAAACATCATTAGTAGTTAGGGAAATACAAATCAAAATCACAATGGGATACTCCTTCACACCCACTAGGAAGGCTGCAGTCAAATATATCTTTGCAGTCCCACTGCTAGGTATATATTTCAGAAAATTAAAAGGCAAATTTGCACACACATATTCATAGCAGCATTATTCATAATCGCTAAAGAGTGGAAACAACCCAAATGTTCATTAAGTGATAACGGACAAGAAGATTGTGTTATATGCTTATGTTGTGGTACTATTCAGCCACAAAATGGAATGAAGTATTGATACATTGATACATGGATGAACCTCAAAGCATTATGCTATATGAAGGAAACCAGACACCAAAGATCACATATTATATGATCCCATGTAGAGACAGAAAGAAAATTAGTGGTTTCTTGGGGCTGAAGGGGAGAATGAGTGAGGAGTGACTGCTAAATAGTATGGGGGGGGGGGGGGAGAGAGAGAGAGAGAGTGTGTGTGTGTGTGTGTGTGTGTGTGTTGATTATAATCTGGGATGAGACAGTGGTGATGGTTGCATAACTGTGTATAGTAAAAACAATAAATTGTATCCTTTTAATAGGTAATTTTATGGCATGTGAATTATATGTCAATAAGGTGTCTTTTAAAAATAATTCCTTTAAATTAAGGTGTTTTTCCTTTTTAAAAACATGGGGAGAAAGAAATGTTTTAGTATTTTGTGCAGGTGACTCAAGTGTCTGACCCTTTCCAGTGCACAAGTAGCTAGAAGCAAGACTCAGTGTTTTGCTAGGCCTGATAAGAAAACAATGTCCGGGCGGGAGGGAACTAACACAAGAGATGGGACCCTGAGAGAGCCTTGGTATCTAGGAGCAAACCCAGAGATCCTGATGTCTGAAGAAGGTGAGAAGGGACCGTGCTCTTGAAGATGGAGTATATTAAGTATGAGTGAATGCGTAATCAATCATGAAGCCTTGATGAGAACTTCTGGGTAGTCTGGGGGATCTTGCTTGTCTCACCTATGCCAACATCCTGGGGTGGAGGAGTGGTGCGAATCTTCCATTTGGCTGCTGCACTCTGGTCCACCCTGTGTACCGTTCCTTCAGAGGCAGTCACCTTGGCTGTTGGGCTTTGAGGCCTGAGTGCCCACGCACAGTGGCAAGAGTGCCATGGGCCTCCATTGCAGTGGTGTGGTCGCAGGACCTCAGTGCCTTCCTGTGCACAGATGGCACTCTTTGCACCCTACCTGTGATGACTTGATAGTAGAGAAGTCCCCCAAGTCCTTCAAGGACAAGAACAAGAAACTCGTTATACAAGCTTATGCCGGGTATACAGCCCCACCCACCCCACAGAAGTGGTGGTGAAGAAGTCCCTCTGGCAGAGGCAGCAGGATGAGCTGAAGTGCTACTGCCATGGCTTCCACCTGCTGTGGAGCCACACCAAGATGGCGGCGCACATGCTCTGGCGCATCCTCCCCAGCCACACCTTGACCAGCCAGGAGTGCAGGCAGTTTCTACGGATCTACACCACCCTCTTCCGCTTGGTTCAGTTCCTCATGTTTGTGGTGGTCCAGTTCATGGAATTCCTCCCACCCGTGACCTTGAAGCTCTTCCCCAACATGCCATCATTCACATTTGAGACCCAGTTCATCAAGGAGGAGAGGTTGCAGAAGGAACTTCAGGTCAGCCTGGAGCTGGCGAAGTTCCTCCAGGACACCATCAAGAAGAGGGTCTTGAAGAACAAGGCAGGCAAGGGCAGTGCCACCAGACTACTCTGTTTTTCCAGAAGATCCAGGAGATGGGGGAAGAGACCCAGCAATGAAGAAATCATGCGTTTTTTCAAATTATTGGAGAATGAGCTGACCCTGGACAACCTGTCATGGTCGCAGCTGATGGCACTGCGCATGCTGCTGGAGCTGCAGTCCATTGGCACCAACAACTTCTGCGCTTCCAGCTCACCATGCAGCTGTGTTCCATAAAGGGCGACAGCAAGCTGATTGCTAAGGAGGGGTGAACAGCCTGAACATCAGGTAGCTGCAGGCAGCCTGTGGGGAGCGAGGCATGTGAGCTATACGTCAATGTCAGTTGTCAGCTACTCAGCATCAGCTGAAGCAGTGGCTGGACCTGCACCTGCATCAGAAGATCCCCATATCTCTCCTCATCCTGTCCCAGCCTATGTACCTCCTAGACACCGTCTTGCCAGCCAACCAGCTCAAGTCCATACTGCAGTCCCTCCCGGAGATTGTGGCAAAGGAAGCGCAGGTGAAAGTGGCCAAGGTAGAGGGTGAGCAGGTGGACAACAAGGCCAAGCTGGAGGCCATGCTGTAGGAGGAGGAAGCCATCCAGCAGGAGCACCACAAGGAGGTGCAGAAGTGCTCGGAGGTGGAAAAGGATGTCAAGCGTGAAGGTATAGAAGCCACTCCTCGAAGGCCAGGGGCCTAACTGCAGCCAGAAGTGCTTGACACAGTCCTATGGTCAGAGACGCTAAAGGACGCTGCCCCACTGCTAGAGAGCTCTAACGAGGAAGAAATAACTAAGGAGGAAATAGACATCCTCAGCAATGCCTGCTGTAAGCTGAAGGAGCAGAAGTTGCTCACCGAGGAGAAGATGGAGCCGGAGCTGCTGAAGGAGGACATGCAGGACTACAGCAAGGATTTGCAAGAGATGAAGAAGGAACTTTCAAACACCAGTGAAGAAACATGTGTAGAAGAATCTAAAGCCAGCAAGATACTGACCAAGAGGGTGCAGCAGATGATCAGGCAGATGGAGGACTTGATCTTGCACCTGGAGATGGACCAGCAGCTGGAAACTGGGCCTGGCCTAGGGCATGCCTCGGGGGAGAACACCATCACTGTTGCTGAGCTCATCAGCACCACACTGTGAAGCAAGTCAGGCAGTCCAGAAAACAAGCTCACTAGCCTGGCCAAAGCACTGGATGAAGACAAGAATGGCAAGGGCAGCACTGACAACCTTGTCAGCATGATTGAGTTTGTAGACAAAGATGTTCACATCTCTACCAGCCAGGTGGCTGAAATTGTAGCAACCTTAGAGAAAGAGAAAATAGAGGAGAAGGCAGAGAAGGAGGCCGCAGAGCTGAAAAGCTAGAGCTGCCAGCCTGGGCACCCTTCCTCCTGCTCCCCGACTGCCCTGGCGAGGGCCGTGAGAGCAATTGCTTTGAGGTGATTTTCAGTGGCTCATGTAATTCCTTGGCTAGAATGGATCAGAGGCTTCCATAATCAAGTAAATTTTAATTTTCATCATTCCACGGAAATTCAGTCAGTCGAGAATCCTGGAACCCCTCCACAGAATCATGTTGGATCCACCCTGTGATGTGGTGCAGCTGCCACACCTGCCTAACTCCAGAGACTACTGGGCCAGGCTGGGGCAGGAAGGTGCCCCCTCATATGTGCCCACCTGTCTTGGCTGCCTTGTCCCCAGGGAGGAAGAGAATGAGGACTGCATTGACTCTGCCCACACAGAGATGTCAGCTTTGCCCACCCTCAGAGATTCAGGAGACACAGCCCAACCTCCTCAGGGCTGAAGATGCCTCCATTCGTCTGTGAGCCTTGATTTCTAGATATTGGTGTCAATAGATCTGTCTTCCTTCACACACAAAAAAAGAATATTACATATGATTTATAACTTAATAATATGCCTAATGACTTTGCTATTCCTAGCTTCATTTGGGGTTATATCTTCTGTTACATCCTCAAGCTCTGATGAAATGAACACTTGTTAGGGTCAGTGAAGCTCAAACATTCATCAAATACATAGATATGTAAGACACATTGTGCTAAGCACTGAGTTATAAAGATGTGTGGCATGCTCTGTCTTAATGTTGCTTGTAGTCTTTTGTCTTTTTGATAATATGAATAGAACGAGGTGATTTTAGATGAAATAAGAAGGTTAAAAACAATATGGCTAGTTTTTGTGTCAGGTAAGTAAGATACAAAGAACGACAACATCTGGTATATGGTACATATAAAATGGACTACAGATTTAAAGAAATATAAGTCTACCAGTGTTACATTGGGCAAGGTATTTGAACTTTTATCAATGCAGAGTGTAGGGAAAGGTACAGGGACTCTTCTGGTTTGCAACAGGTCATAACAGGGAAACACATTTTCTGCATAAATGATTAGAGAATGGTAGGGAAGGCTACTTCAGCCAGAAACTTGGATAAATATTTATCAATAATACCATTATTTGTGTCAAACATTGTTCTGGGTAGTAAGGAAAGCCCTTTTTTTTTTTTCTTTTTTTTGGAAGAAAGGCTAGTTTCAGATCAATAACAAACTAGAGAAACTGCTTCATTTTGCCTTGGAGTGTTAGGGCAGAGTGGAAATGGACAGCCTTAATATCCTTGTATCAGGGCCACACATGGATATCAAGGCTGTCACAAGGATTAGCCAGGAATGTAGGCATGTATGTAGTCCAAGGAGAATTCTCCTTCAGGTAACAACATGGAAAGAATCTTTTAAGTGATGAGTAAGAGAGATATCATGTTCTGGTTATCCTAATGAGTCCATAATATGGAGCTTGGGACACTTAAATAGGAGCTTGACAGAGAAGTCAAGGCTTATATTCAATAAGAAAGCTTCAATAATTGTTGTTTTTTTTTTTTTTTTTTTACTTCTATAGCAGATATCAATTTGGATATATCAAAGCCTTTGAAAGCAAACCTGAGTTTCACCAAACTGGATCAGATAAACCTTTTTTTAAAGAAGATTAAAAATGCTCACAGTTCAGCACATAGTGAAGAGACTTCAGCCCTGCCCAACACCATGGCGAATAAGGATGATCTTCCAGTCTCCAAATATTACCGTGGAAAGTTGTCTAAACCCAAAGTTCATGGTGATGGAGTACAAAAGATTTCAGTTCAGGAAAACATGTGGAGAGCTGTTTCCTGCTTTCAAAAAATTTCTGTTCAAACTACTCAGATTGTGATCTCCATGGAAACTGTCCCCCATGCTAGTAAACCATGCCTGTTAGCATCTCTTTCAAACCTCAGTGGAAACCTTAGTGTCAAAGCAGCACAAAAAGTACCTGGTAAGTCACAGAAAAGGGGAGGGGGGGAGACAGGACAAGCAATATGATTTGTTAACATCTGAAAATGCATCATTTTCAAGATTTATATTATGTAGAAGTTAAAAGTTATAAAGGCCATTAGAGATGAGGACACTTCTGTTTTGTGACCTTGTTTTTAGATGTAATTTTAGAACAAATCCTTTTAGATATTTCAATGTCTAAACAGAAATGTTTCTATCCTCCTCTTGAGGCATGTTCTTACGGGTGTCTTGAAAACTGTTAATTGCTAAATTTCCTTTTACCTAAAACAGCTATAGTGGAACAACAGTATATAAGTTTTGTGAACCATTAGAATAGTGGTTCTCAAAGTATGATCTCAGGACTAGCAGCATCAGCATCACCTGGGAAATTGTTAATTCTCAGACCCCACCCATGACTTACTGAATCCAAAACTCTGGGCATGGAGCCCTGAAATCTGTGCTTCAACAAGCCCCACAGGTGATTCTGAGGCACAGCATTAAGTCACTGGTAACTGTTTACTTAAAAAAGAAAAGTTGCTGTGGTGGCAGATATGCTACACAAAGTATAACAGAAGCCAGGATTCAACTTTGTAAGAATGCTATTGAGGCATTTTATCAGGCAACAACACCTGGCAAGGCAAAGCTGTGCTTCTGTGCCTAGCCTAGCAAAGGGAGGGACAGATCCTGCAAACTGAATGTCATCGATGGGAGGAGAGGTGAGAAATCAACCAGCAGTGACATCTACATTTGCCTCTTCTGTTACCATGACTAAATTCTTACATACTTTTTCAAAAAGAGTGGGCAGAAGGATTGTGAGGAGGGGAAGAGGAAAGGCAAGACACAGGTGGGAAATAACAGTTTTCAATCACAGAAACTGCTACTGTAAAATTTCAGGGCATAAGGCCAGAAATTTTGCTCTGAAAGTAAATGTAGCAAAAGGGAACCATGTCTTTTCCCACTTTAATTTGTGGAGGGAAATAGGGGATTGGGGATAGTGTAGGGGATAAAGTAAATCCTTATATGCAACTTAGTTGCTTATCAAAAAGTAATTAAATGGCAGCTGCAGACTAACTGTAACTTAGTTCCATATAGCCAGTTTGGGCTTAGTAGTTAAAAGAGAAAGGAAAAGTTTTATAGCTGAGAAGTGTGAATTTTAGGCCAAAACGGATGATTTATTTCTTTCTCACCAGAAATATTTGTGACCAAGCCAACTAAAAGCTCTGTGTTTTTTTTTTTTTTTTTAATTGTCTTAAAAGTTATGAGTGAAAAAGGTAAGGTCCATGGGACATGAAAGACTATGAAATACTGAAGTATCTGATGTATCCACAAATAAACTGCAACCCAGACAACACTGGGCCTATTCCCATGCCTTTCCAATTGTCCCTCAGTCATAGCAGGGAAAGGTTAAGACTCAAACAAAATGGAAGAATTTAAACATACTGTACTCACTTCCAGGTCCTTTTTTTTTTCATCCTCATTGCTTTGTTATTCATTTGATACTCATATTTTATCCGTGTTTAATGATGTCTGTCTTTCGTAAACATCTCTACAATATTAAGAAACCCTTCTCTCACTAAGCTGTATGAATTAGTAAACTCTAGTTTTGGAACTTGTTTTTTTCCCCTTTATATAGGAAAAACAACATATCCTTAATCCTTTTACAAATATGTTCTTAAATCTAGTTAAACACAAAAATGGCAACTATAGCTTTGACTAAACGTGCTTTATACAGCTCTAACATGCAGGGTCCAGCAAATATTTTAAAGTAATTATTTGCCTCAAATCAAATCTCAGTTGAGGTTAGCTACTTAATAGGAACAATTTTGTTATGAGACTATAATGAACACCAAAATATATTTTTACTGCAATTTTTTCTTTATGCATACTCAAACAGTTTAGGATGATAACAAGTTTAGCAAAATAATAATAAACTGTAATTACATGAAATTAGACTATATTAACTTCTAGTTATAAGGACTGATTTCTCGGGAAATTGTGATTAAGAGATTGGTACATATTTTTTCAAAAAAATTATTTTAACTATATTTTTATAATAAAACATAATTTAAGCTTTGAACATTAATTTCATTTTGTAGTCAAATGTCTTAAAAATTCATGCTTTGCAATTTGGATAAAATATATGTAAACATATATTCAAAGTATAATTTTGGTAAGTGGTAAAAAACTATCCACCACCAAAAAGCAAATATACTCACATAAAAGCCCCCTACCAGTAGTCATATTTCTTTTTGTAGTTTTCAAGTGACATTGTTCTACATTCAACTGAAATTTTTTATACTGTAGTATATTTTTGAGCTCAATGAAGTTAATGTCAGATTTTTATAGTTTGAATCTAATACAGAAATGCTTAACTGTGTCTTTGATTTTACAGTTTATATAACTGTTGTGACCATCTGCAGCAGCTGCACTTTTCAAAATTATTTGCTGAACCAAATTGAGCACAGTGACAAAAGTAGTCATCTCAGATGTACTATTAAACAGAAAGAAAAAGGAGCATTGCCTTGGTACAGTATAGCCATCTGCTGTACAGATGTTATTGTATAGAATGACTTCAGATAAAATAATTGTAGAAAATTTTCATTAAAACCTCAACAATTTGCACTTGTTTATGCGAATCTGCATAACTCCCCAATGAGACAACACACTTGGGGTTTCGTTGGTTCTCACTCACTTTCTCTTTGATCCTTTTTGATGTGCTGACTTTAATAAACACAGTCAAAAACACTGTGCAAAAACATCATGGAAAAAACTACAAAGGAACAATTATAGCAGCAGAAACTAATCCCTAACTTACGCAAGCTATTTTTAGTGAAGTATTTTTTTAACACTCTTTATGTGACAGTGTTATATAAACAGGGTAAAACAGTCCTTTCCAGATGAGTTTTAATTTAGGAGCCAAAATAGATTTGTAATGCTAGAGGAATCTTATGTGCTAAGTAATATCTAGAGAAACACCATTGAGAATATGTTTTAGGTATGTTTTCTTATTTTTCAAAGGTAGAAAAATATTTGAGTTCACCTAATGATTATATTTTTTTATCATCTAAACTGTCATAAGCTTACTGGAAGTGTATGCGAAAGGAAATAATATGATCGAAAGGCATAAGTTAATTTTTCTCCCCTGAACATTCTCAATACATTTAAATAATCTGTGCTTTCATATTTATTTACTGATTTTTAAAACTAAATATTTATAAATGATTGACTGAAGCAGTTAAAGGAATTATTACTTGGAATGAAGCAAAATGGTTCAATATTTTCTACTTTACAAAAAATATCTACTAGTTCTGCTTAGCCTCCTGCATTATTCTTTGACCCTAAACTATGGGAGTTTCATGGGATTTGATTTTTTTTTTTTAATTCTACTCTGCAGATACTGGTGTAGCAGTGACTTACAATAACCTAACCCTTACTTCTGTTAGAATACTTATGTTATCTCATGAATCTTTGGTAAAATGACCCAAAAGTTCTGATTTCAGTAGATGTAATGCCTATATTTTTAAAGTTGGTATATAATACAGCTGAAAATCCTATGATTGTATTAAAAGTACATATCCTTTAGAAATTATATTTTAAAATATTTTAAAGCAGATAATATTTCTTTTGCTATTCATTAAATTTATCCCATTCTATAGTATTTTCTTAAAAAAAAAATAAAAGCTTTCCCTTACATGTACATACAACACAATCTTTTTTGCCATTTGAAGTATATAGCTATAAATTGTGAACTGGCAGTGTAGCACTTTCCAGAGGCAGGGTGGAGAGCAAGCTACAGACTTTAGCTCCCCTTGTCAGAGTAAATTATGGCTCTATTTGGGCGGCACTCCTTAGATTTCGACAAGCGAACACAGTTCAGAGCTGTGAAATAGCTGTACTTTAGGCTGCCTTGCTCTTTCTTGGGGGCACTTAGATTGGCAGCCTCTGTGTATGTAGATAAGGAAAAGGAAAATAGAACATGAGCGAGTTAGATGAAACAAAAGATTGGGGGAAGAACCGTAATAAGGTCATCTTGGCTGGCATTTTAGTCAGAATTTGGAAGAATTTAGACAGATCCCCTGCCATAAGGACTTGGGTGACTTTCCACCCAAGCCAAAAACAGTGAGTTGAACTCCTTCTAGTCAAAGGGCTATGGCTTATGTAACTTTCACTACCCCAGCCTCTGTCATCCAGATGTAGTTATCTTTTTGAATAAACAAAAGTAGAGAGAGAAAGCATGCCGCATTATTTTTCACATACACAAACTGTCTCTTCTAACATTCACTGAATTCAGGACCAGTAACATGTAAAGAACCTAAAGTTCCTTTTCATGTATTGAAAAGTGAAACCAGGTCATTAATTGATAAAAAGTAGAGCTCCAGCTTTTCATTCTATAGTTAACTGGATTTCCTAAGGAAAATCTTATAAAGCGTTGTCATAACCTTTGGATACTGCAGAGATGCAAGTTAGCCTAAGGGGAAATAAAACATTAAATTAAATATGACTACCTAAAATAATATCATGCAATAACCAGCCAATTACAACATGCAATAACCAGCCAATTACAACATCCCAAAGTCTTTTGTTACTTTTAGAAAGAAATAACATCTCTGTCCAATGCCTGAACAATAGGAAGTGAGTTCTTGGACAGTTAAAGCCAGAGGACAAACTTAACTTTTAAGCAGCCACTGAGGATTGAAGTGGAAGTACAGCTTGTAGACAGCTACACAAATCACTAACAACTCTTAGTGAATATTGGGTGTGGGCATCAGGGTCCTGTCATTTTTGACACTATGTCCCAAGTAGCTTAAACCCAACACTCAGGGAAAGGTGGAGACCTCATTGGCTCTGTAACATCTGGGATTTTATTTGTCATTTTGGCATACCCCACAAGTGCAAAAGAAAGAGTAAAAGGGGATTATCTTGACAATGAAATGAGTTACTGAATCTTGTGATAATGAAAAGCAGAAGAATTCTAATGCCTTTCTATAGTCCCTGAGGTAG